GAGGTGCAGGCGCAACACCGAGGGTTGCGATCCCGTTGCCGGTCCCAGCCCAGTGCGGGCGCGACACTGAGGGTTGCGATCCGTTGCCGGTCACGAAAAAAGACAAAAAGGAAAAATAAAATAAAATAAAAAGGTAAATATATTGTAAACTATATGCCATAAGTAGATTTGCAAAGATAAAGGTTTTTATTCCTTTCTCAGTATAATGGTGAAAGTGACCTTAGCCAGAAAGTTGCCATCTTTGGGATAACTAGGACCAAGCAGAAAATTTCAGTTAGCCTTTAACTTGGGAACAAATAATCACTAATTCCTTGAGGTTAGTAGAGGAAAAGAGAAACTGACTGTATGGCTGAAACTGCCCAGAGATAAAATCATATCCCAAAAGGATCCTTCTCAAAAGCTTATTTCTGTTTATTTCCCATTATACCCGCTTATGTTGATTTACTTTAGATGTTGTGCACCTACAATTAAGGATTAAAACTCAGTTTCCCTGTTTTCCTTACCTCTCTAATCAACTGCAAACAGAGGAAATCCAAGAAAAAGGCAAAGCACCCTAGCTGATTATTAACTCACCTTGCTTCAAGGAAAATTGCATCCACATTAAAGGTAGAGTCAGGTATTTTTGTGTTCCAGTGATGCTTGACTGAGGTTATTATATTTCAGTTCTCCCTAGGAGATAAGGACTCCGACCCGAAATAACATCAAGGGCTTGAAGCTGACTAGTCCACCAACTGCAGACTCCATGACACCAAAGCACCCAGTCCATCATGGGACCCTAACATCTGACTCAGACCCTCTGATAAACCTTTGACCAGTCTCCCCCTTTGCCTGCAGGACAAAACTCTTATCTCACCTTCCCGCCTCTTCCCCTTTATAAACGCCAGAACAGGCATCGGAAGGCAGGATGATTTTAGCCTGGTCATCCCTCACATGCTGGTTATCTGAATAAAGCTTCCAATCCGTGCACCAACTTTTGGACTTTTGGGTCATTTGTTTAATGCAAAAGGGCAAGCTTAGCCTGGCTGCCAGTAACAATGATAGAGACAGAAAATTTCATTTAAACATCATAGACTTTAACTTACATCTCTTAACTTTATAAAGAGAAAAAGCAAATAAGACAAAACAAAGAATATTAGCACTAGCTTTGGAGAGCAATTGGTCTAGCCCTTGCTTTTCAAATGAAAAATGTAATGCCAGAGGTTAACAGAATTGTTAACCTTGCTTAATAATACAAGTTGGGCAATATAGTATTTTATCATACTTAGTATATGTGGTATTTCCCATGATAAATGACGTAATAGAAAAAAATCTCACGGCTTATTTGCAGTGAGAGTCACAGGCATCAGATATTTATTAATCATAATGCTAACTGACCTACTCCATTCTGGAACAAAAACAGAATTTTTTCTTGTGATGAGGAATTTTAATTCTAAGAAAAGCCAATCCTGAAGCATTTAGTTTCTAGTCCGCCTTCTAAAGTTACTTTTCAAAATCCCAAGAAATAGCAGATATTTGCTAAAGATCCAACTAAGCAAAATCCCATCATTGTGTATCTTTTCATATATTTGTGGGCTACTTGTCTTTCTTAGTGAACTGGCTGTATGTTCTCTGGCCATTTCTTCAGGAGGTAGGGAGCGGAGGTCTGCTCAATTTTCAAGAACTCTCTAAATAATATGGCAATTACCCTTCATCTGTGATACAGGTTGCATTTTTTTCCTTGTAGTTTGTCATTTGACTTTGCTTATGCTGGGTTTTTGGGGTTTTTTTTCTGTCTTGCATGATTTATATTGAAGTTTGAGTTGATGTCTAGTTCACTCCTTATATTGGTGTCAAAGTACATGTGGTAGAATACACCTTTAAAGAAACTATTCAAACACGGAATTACACAGAAACTAGCAGTAGTCATATACAAAGCTATTATTAAATATCCAGAAAGATTCTGATAGTTTCTAGAGATTATTAGTGTGGCCCATAATATCATAACAAATTTTTGATCTATATAGCCAGATGTGGACTGGCTAAAGACTACAGGGCCACTTGTTTAAAAAGTGTCAGTATGTGTTTATTAACTTAAATTCTTAAAAGTTGTGCTTTTGCAGTTAATTTAGTGTATTCTGAATCCATACAAAAGTTAAGTTACTTTTATAATAACAATTATTCTTTTATTTCAATTTTCAATATGTTTTTAATACAAATGGTACAAAGTGCTTTAATGGTACAAAGTGCTTTTAAAATAGAGCTTAGGAAATATCTAAAGCTTAATTATTTTCCAGATATTTCTCTTGAAACAAAATATGAAAAAAGATTTATAGAAAATGGAGTAAAATATTAACAGTGGTTATCACTAGGGAGTATAATTACATGTGACATTATTTTTCACATCTTCCTGAATTTTCTGAATTTTCCTTAATGAGCCCATTCCATATTATAAACATTTTAAAATAAGGAAGAAAAATGACAAACTTATAAACCAAAAATCCTAGGCAATAGCTTCTTTCTTTAAGTATTTCAAACTGTTTTCTGTATCCTAAGTGCAGTCTTTTCCCTGACTAGATAATGTGTACCTTTAGCACAGCAAAGGGGGTGAGGGAGTGACAATACTGCAATCTAAGAACGGAGCTTCGCTAGATTCTGGGAAAGCTTCAGCATCTTCAAGTGCACGTTTGCATCTCTGTGAAGTCACTTCAAAGACTTTGTGAATCTCAGATCTTACTCTGTTGAAATGAATTGGCTCCTTTCCAACCATCGTTTAATTCAAGGTGTTCTCCAGTTTTCTAGTACTTTGTCAAGGAAGGACCCTGAAATAACAGGATATTTTTATTTAGATGACAGCATGGTCAGCAACTGAACTACCCAGAATTTATATGCTGATAATCATGATGCTAGCATTACATATAAATTACAAGTTCATTAGAAGTGTTTACCCTCTGTTGTAGTTGCTGTGTAGAGCTCAAGAGAGTATGGCATAAATTGAGACACAAATAGATAAGGGAGAGATTGAGTAACTTAACCTTTTCCTTTCTTCTTTTGTCAAAGAAAAAAATGTTCTCAAACTTGAGCACCTAAATAA